AGGTTTAAAGAACTATTTGACATAAAAAATTTTATTAACTTACGCAGTTCGATCCTTGATAAATAATGGAAATACAAATAGCTCTGGAAAACCTACGAAAGTAATGTAGTTAATGAAAAATGCTCTACCTTAAGAAAAGTCAAATTTAATACAAATTCAATGTTTTTAAATATTAATGTTTATGTTACAAACTGGTTTATCTGAATTTGTGAGAACGTATCTAAAATGTAATCAAAATCAATATCCCTTTATTGCCTTATTAATATTAAAGCGTATTATCGAGAAAGCTAACATCACATATTATTAAAATTTATTCATGTGTGTGCCAATTATATATTTTGTTCAAACAAAATGGGCCTTCATTATAAATAAAATAATCCAAGAAATTGAAAATCGAAATTACACTCCTGGCCACCCAAATTGCAACACCAAGACAAGAGATATCACAACAAAATTTATTTAGTAGATAACATGTTGACCAAATATCAAACGATTAAATTTATAGATTTCCGTGAAGTGTGGTTTCCAGAATCAGTAGCCAGAGTAGCCACCATTGTTGGAGATCACCGCTGACACACGCTTCGGCATTGTTGGAGATCGCCGCTGCCACACGCCTCGGCATTGTTTCAAAGAGATTTTGGATGTGTTCTTGGGTACACCAACCAGCAGCTCCACACGTTTCCAGTTGATCTGGTGTGGCAGCTTGGGGTAATCTGGGTCATCGTCAGCAACCATGGATCACATGTTTTCTATCGGCGAAAGATCCGGAGAACGAGCCGGCCACGGAAGCATTTCAATCTGGCGATTGACGAAAAACCCTTGGACAATACGTAACACGTGTGGTTGCGCATTATCCTGTTGAAATATGGCTGTGGGCAAGCCCTGAAGGTAAGGAAGGTCAACTGGCTCCAATATCTCGGAGATGTAGCGCTGGCTGTTTAAAGTGCCGACAATGCGTACTAGAGGAGTGCGAGAGTGATATCCAATACCGCCTCATACCATAATACCCGGTGCAGGACAAGTGTGGCGGTGCATAACGCAGCTGTTCAACATCCTCTTTCCACGGTGTCTCTAGACTCGAATTCGACCATCGTGGTTTTGCAGACAGAAGCGTGACTCGTCAGTAAAGTTAATTTAATTCAATTCTGCCGTCCAGATCCTTCTTTCATTGCACCAATGATGGCGAAGACGTCTGCTCTGCGTTAAGGGTAGACGAAGCAATGGACGTCTTTCGGACAGACCACTCTGCTGTAAACGGCGTCGAATGGTACGCGCAGACACTGGATGATGCGTTCAGACTGATGTGCTGTGCTATGGTTCGTGATGGACTGAGCGATTCGTTACTGACCCATGCACACAATGTTCCTGTCACATGTGAAGGTGCACTGAGGTGGAATGCGATCGAACACGGTCCCGTCGTACCCTCCTGCATCCAACGGTCACATATCCGCATTACAGTTGTTTGTTTCTCCAACACGGCTATCGATTTCCCTAAGATAATCCACACTCCGGTAGGCCACTACCTTCCTCTGTAGAAACTCGGATACTTGATCAACGATGATCGCTGTTTACACGAGGCATAATTGATCGTTTTTTTTTGAAAAACCTCAAGAAAAATACAATTGCCGAACTTAAAATCGTCGAAAACTCCAAGCCTTAAACAGCGCTTTGAAGTGGCGCCACAGGCGCGCGGGATGTGCGTCTGAGCTGAAATTCTAATCATTTGCATATCTCACCTCCGCTAATGCATGTTGTAAATTTCATGTTATTTGCATGCTTCCTTCAGGGTGTTGTATTTACGGTGGCCAGCAGCGTAGCTGTCTTCTGGGGTAGCGAACTTATTGTAGTAGAAAACATTGGTGATTGCAAATGATCTCAACATATTCTAAAAAAGTATTAACTAATTTTTTTTAAATAGCAAAATTACTGTAGTAAGAAAAATTGTCATTTATTGTAATACTTCGAATGCTATGATTATATCAATGAGAAGTAAAAGAAAAGAAAAATGAATTCACCATTGCTATTTCCCAACGGGTTGAAAACTGTTCTTACACGCTTCTTCTTTCTGAAAATAAATACATACCATTAAAAAATAAAATTTCTGAATGTTAAAGAAATAAATCTGTACAGCAAAATGATGCAGAAAACATAATGCTTTAGGTATTTCGTTAACTGCGTGCATTCGAATTTTGTAATGAACTAGATGTACAGTATGGTATACCTTATATAAATGAATATACAATACAAAGTCTTTAATCCGGAAGGATCTATAATCCGGACCTCAAAGCTACAAACTTTCTGCGTATGCGTAAACGAATTGCATGCGCATATGTGTTTTACGCATGTGCATCATACCTTTACGCATACACATATGCGTTTACGAATTCGCATAATACGTTTATGCGTGCACGTTTAATGTATAACAGATAGTATAAGCTAAGCTAAAATTATCTATGTCTGTTAATGTTGCAGATTGCATTGTTCTTTAATCTTCTAATTGGATCCATGATTTTTTGCAGACTTTAGAGCAATTTTATAAATGTAAGCTTGAACTTTCGATTATGTCAAAAAGAATTCGGATTCTGGAGCTGCCAAAGGATGTACGAAGCGAAAGCATGTTTCGATGTCCGTCAAACAAAAAGTGGAATTTTCAAAATGGATAAAGGCATAAAGAGAGTGACAGAGAGTTAGTGAAAACGAAAAAATTTCGATGACAAGTTAGTCGGTATTCTCGACACAGCAATTACGGACTTGAACAGCGGAACTTTGTAACTAAACAAGAAATTATGTCTGTTTAATAGAATTAAAGAGAAAGTATTATCACATGAAACGAAGCAACTTACATTGAAAGGAAATGTTTAATAAACAAATAAATATTAAGCTTTTTCTTTTTGTAAATTTTGATACCCTTTAGATCATAATTGTTCTTTATTTCATAAATTATGGTTTCATATTTTTAATTTTGTAATTTCTGCATGCCATCTTACCAGATTTAAACTGATGATCTATAATCCAGAAAAATCGATAATCCGGAATCGCCGAAGTCCCGACGATCGGATTAAAGACTTTGTCGATCAGTCTGCGCCTGGAGATAATTCTTCTTTGGTACAACGGCCATGCCGCTTAGACCTTGAGTTGTTATCAAATTCGTTAAATTTTACAAAGTTGAAATCTATAATAACACTTTCAAAATTAATTCGGCTTCCATGCCCATATTCGCAGGAGGACTACGTTATTCAAAATTTGACGGTTCTAGGTACCGTTGTTTTATCACAATGCGAGAAACATTCATACATTTATGCAGATTCTTTATTATTATTTAATTTCTTTAAATATAATACAGGGCTCTAATATTTGGTGGCAACAATTTGAAAAGTGAGCCGACATTTCAACGCAAAATGCCAAAACGAAATTAACAGTCCTTCTTGACAAATTGCCCCTTTTGACTGATAATAAAAAATTTGTAGAGTCATTAGGTATTTCGGAAGCAGAGAGATGAAAAATATGCAACGCCTTCACCGGAAATCGAACCATGGACCTCTGGAATACGCGCCTTGTTGGCAGACCACCACACCACACCACGTGTGTTCGCTAAGAAGGCAGGAGAAATACCTTATAAATTTTCAGTTACAAATGCCTTGAGCCCTCTTGTCATGATGTAGGGATACCATATTTGCTCTAAAATAAGACTCCCCCCTTTTTTGCTTTCTGTTTTAAAACTTACTAGGGTTTTATAAACGGGTTTTTATAATGAGTAATAAATTTGTGGAATGAGAGGAAGAAGTTTAATTATCAAACTTACACAGATTAATTACTCTGTTAAAAACACTAAATAAAGCACATAGATAATTACCGTGTATATAAAGTGCGGTACAAAATGACTGAGCGCATTTCATGCTTGAAAAAAAAAATAAGGTGCCTACATGTTTATTGTTTTCTTGGAACGACAATTTAAAACAGTTTTGCACAACAAAATTTTAAATGTTAATTAATTTTCACATGAGGTGTGTTTGTAGCACGCAATTCAATTATGAAATGCCCTCAATAGTTTTGGATTACCCTGTATATATAAATGCATAACTGCCGCTAATTACAATGACCACGCTTATCTAAGTAATTTCGATTTACCCTAAAATGTAAAGAAATTCTTGTTTCGAGCAAATATGGCGCTTAAAACCAGTTCCCTGAGTGACATATAACTGGGTATGGCTACATTGCGGCGCTCAGGCCTCAGCTCGCGAGTCTCATGAGGCTCTTTGATTTCTTAAGTGCGACTCGTATGCAAATATCGGTTTAATTATTAAATTACAATTGCATTTTTAAATAGTCATAGTGAAATGACATATTTGTTTATATACTTCTAGTAATTTAATCGATTTCAAACTCTCCGTCCTTTAATAGTCAGAACAGCAAAACAAAGTAAATATGGTTCCTGTGAATTACGCAGCAATACCACGTTACATTTTTAGCAGGTAATGGCCATCGATACAGCATAGAATTCAAATATAAAAGTAATTTTGGAAACAAATGCTGCATAATTTTCTCTCTAAAATATTACTTTATTTTTAAACAGTTTCTCCTTGTAGTTCTTCTGATCCCATTGCCTAGTAGAGTACCTTTGTAGGGCACTGCCCTTTTCAGTTCTTCGAATGGTTTGATCAGTCGCTGAAGAAACTTCTTTTATATAGAGAAAATGCAGAGCACAGAGAGGCTCTTTCAAATTAGAGAGGTATTTGAACACTGGTAAACTCAAATGTAGATTTTATGATTAAAAGTTAAAACGTCTCATTCAGATTCTTTTCATGTCCATCCCCAAGAAAGCAAAATTGTTTTTGTACACCTGCAATAGTTTAACAGTTACTCGTAATAATATGCTACAGTTACATTTTTTTTCAGCTGGAGTTCTAATGACTTCTAGATAATTCTCGGCATCAGTTATCTATGATTATGCATCTCAAATTCTGTATGCTCAAGAGGAGGACTGACTGCAATTTCAATTCTAATTCAAAGTTACTCAACCGCTTCCATTCTATTCAAAAAGTTACCACGTATCGTCAGATTATTCTGGACAGAAATCTTTCATTTTTATTATCAAATCTTCGTTTCAATAAAGTTGCTTAAAGCGGTAAGGAACGCAACCTGCACAAGCTTTTATTTCTACAAAGTTTTTCTCAAAATACCTTTTACTGATGCTGGTGATATCATTGTAATTTGGGATATTCTATTGTAATTTGGGATTTTATTAGACGATATTCTTCCTTTCTAGTTCATTACAAATATCACATTTATTTCTTTTGCTGATATTTTTAGCCTTCCTGACCTTCCGTCATCTTTAATATCAGGTACGTTCTTCACGAAAGCATAATAGCTCAACGGAAGACTGTACTACGATTTACTGCCTGATTAATACACAATTCATGCAGTGCACTGTATACTTCTATTGGAATTTCTCCATGTAAGAATTTTAAAACATTGTGTTTGATTTTGATTTTGTTCGAGACGCGTGAATACTACGTTTCAGACACTCATCATTTAAAAATGCCATACTCTAGAAACCTTAATACTTGCTTTTGTTTAAAATCTTCAGCTGTAATTTCCAAATGTATGCAGCTCACCCTGCAGTTCAAAGGACCCGGAATTAATATAAATTTTCATATAGGATATATCGAAGCACATTTGTCAAAATTTGGAAGCTTTGTGGAGACACCTTAAAATCTGAAACTTATCTTGGCATAACATCAAATAAGGTTGGCATAGCTTAGGAAATCTACAAAAGAAGGAAAGATATGGCATAGCTTAAGAAAACTACATAAGAAGGAAAGAAACGGAACTATAGACAAAATTTATATTCATTATCTACAATCAGTAAAATTCCTGCTTCTTCAACCAATATGTAATATTCATTGCATTTAATTATACCTGAGATCCTTTATCCTATTTCTCTATTTTTTGCAGGATCATTAGTTGATATTCCTTTCATACGCTTTATATCAGAGTGAATTCCAGAGTAATATCAGCAATGTCGCTATCCGACTAGTATACGAACATACGTAATATTTTAAATTAAATCTTCCATATTATATTGAGAAATGTCCATCACTAGTGAAAGCTCGACTCATATCTAACTGAAATACACCTTCCATAAGAAATTTTGGCAGAAATATGAGTTAAGACTTTGCGTAGCTCTCATTCCATCTATTCTACCGTTCAGTTACACTTAAAGCATAAAATTTCGTTCGCCAGATTTATCTAACTTGGATTTTTTTATGGGGCCATCTTAAGAGCATCACTTATGAGACTGCCGTTGACTCACTGGAGGACCTCGTTGCACGACTATCCATCGCGGCAGTAAGCGTGCGCTTAAATGTCTGTCGTTTTACAAAATGTTCGTCAATCCCTTCTACGACATTACCAAGCATATATTGCTGCTGGTGGTCGCAATTTTGAACATTTATTGTGAATACTGTATTGCTGCAAAGAAGCACTTTGCTTTTATTTTGTACATAAACACATTTTCCTCTCGTGTCGTTTTTTTTTGCGTTCCTGCCCTAACCCGTCACTTTAGACCCTACATTCCTATAAAAAATGCATGTTTGAGTACGCTCCACCCCCCTCCAAGTTTGTCCCATGATCTATGAAACACCCTGTATATTTTGTGCATGTTTGAATAATGTTATGTTTTCAAACATTATTCAGCATTATTTATTTATTCTTCCCCCCCCCCACAAATAGGTAAATAAATAATCTTGCATTGTATACAGGGGCGCACATTTACCGCTTTGCCTCAGGTGAAAAAATATGTAGGCACGGCTCTGAGTAAATACCAAAATCCTAATTCAACTATGTGATCAAGGGACTAATTAGTGCAATGAAAGACTATTCTGTTAGGGCCTCGAGATAAGCCCTTCGTGGCGTAGATGGTTTGGATATAAGGGCAAATTAATTCGCAAGGGCCAACTACCTTCTTCATGCGCTGCATTTATCGAACATGAAAAAGAGTCTGAGAAAAGGAGATCAAAAACTGTTTTAAATACGCTAATCTTTAAATAAATGGTAAAATATACTAAGTTGAAGAAGAAAAAGAATCCTCTTTCAGCTAACATGATTTGCGAAAAATTTAACATATAGATGGATAGGTATTGATAAAAAAAATTGAGTTGCTTTATTGATGACAGAAGAAGATTTCTTCCAGTCGGTTTTCGATAAAAAATATCCCAATATTTGATGTGATAAATGTTCTGAAGATTTTTATAAATTCTATGAATTCCATACAAATACTGAGATGAGGGATGACACTCGAATATTAAGATTGACGGTGTAGTATCAGTCAAATAATTTCTAAAAATATTTCAAACAGCTCATAAATGAATTAATGCATAAACGTTTTATGAACCTTTGTATAAAAGACATTAGGAAGAGTTCATGAAGAGCCTGAGAAGATTTCCATGAAGACCTCATATCTTACATGGAAACGAGGATGAAGAGCTCATGTCTTACACGGATACGAGGCAGTTTTCCTTAAAAAAACATTAACGATAGCATCTCCTCTTAGAGAGCTAGCACTATTGTTCTTTGCTGCAGTCCATTTTTACTTAAAGGGTGTTCCGGCGAAGATATCAATTCTCTTCAGCAGATAACCCTTGCTGCCTTAACATAGACATTGAATTAGCTACTCGGTTTTTCTGGAGGTACTTTATAAGGTATTTCACCCGTCTTCCTAGCGTGCCTTCGTGGTGTAGTGGTCAGCACACTGAGCCGGTAGTTCAGAGGTCAAAGGTTCGATTCCCCGGCGAAGGCGGTTGGTAATTTTTCATCTATCTTGCTTTAAAAAATACCTAATGTCTCTACAACTTTCGCTATTTAATTATTACTTTTCCCATTACAATAAAAGCTCTGAACTCCCCTGTATTAAATATTGTCTTATTGGAGCTGACGAAATGCCTCTTTATCACACATGTTCTAACTGACATAAAATGCGATTTAGAAATGTGAAGCAATACAGAAACAGCATTACAACTATTAAAATAGAAACAATACCAGGTACGTAATACATGACGTTAAACGTATCATTTGGTAAATACATTGTTGCATATATTTTAATTTGCATGAATTAGACATATTATTAAACATAAATAAAAGTTAAAATAATATTTAAAATGCGTTTAATACTTTTAAATCACACTGTTGGTAAGCAATCGTAGATTGATTAAACTTGAAATTTGAACTAACCATGCATTGTTTTGTCCAGTGAAAAAACTTTAAGAGCGTCTTACAGTTAAAGAAAAATATGCATGATTCTTACCATTTTGCGCAAAAATATAAATATAGTAGATTTAGAAAAGTCTGATGTTAAATATTAATCCCATTTTAGACAATAGTTATGTCATAAACAGTCACATGTATTTTCACAAGAAGTATAAAAGTAAATTACTTTACTGAAAGTATTAAGTAGACTAATTCTAGAATTCATATTTGATAAATATAAAGAAGTAATTTAAGATCTGAATGCTGTTCAGTAATGAGGTACATGTAGCTCATATGGAGCTGAAATCTGTTTATTAGAGTAAAGGTAACTTTTGTTAATTAACTGTTTGCCAATTTATTTTTCATTAATTAATTTATGCGAAATTTACTGTACTATCTAATACTCATCAGAAATTTTTACGTTTGAAAATAATGATCCTTTCTGACTGTTTGCGTTCTACCTTAGCTTCTTCACAATTGCCTTGAATAAATATTTTAAAAATGAAATACTGCTGTTTAAAAAAAATTAATTTGAAAAAAAGAATGCATCAAAGTTATAAGTTCTTTTAAATTATCTGCTACTGAAATGATATTTTTAGAATAATCTAGAATTTTTGTTTATAATTATAATGTTATATTAATAATAATAGGATATATTTATAACATAAAATATATATATTGAAGCCATTTAAGGTGTTTTATTTATTTCATTTTATAAATAGTTCAAAGTGGCTATTGGAATTTTTTTTAAATATGTGGCTGCATAATTTTGGTTTATTTATTTCATTTTCTAAATAGTTCAAAGTGGCTATTGGAATTTTTTTTAAATATATGGCTGCATAATATTGTTTCGGGTAAGGCAAATCTAGATCATCTGCAATAAAAATTTCATGTGTATAAAAATAAAGAAGTGAAACAGTATAAGGTTTCAAACTGCAAAAGCGATTGAAATAAGTGAAAGGTTCATTGCGATTCTCATTAACGATAAACAGACAACAATTTTGTACAAAAACGTAATAATTAGTAATAAGGGATTATGTTTTAATGACCGGGTTTTCACTAAATTCAGTTTAGAATACGAATTCTTTATTTTTACTTCTTTATTTAAACAAATCTATATAACTGAACTAAAATTGAGACTTTATTAATATTTATAATGTGACATACTCTTCTAGGGTGTTAAATTTCCGAAGCTTGGAGAAGGAGATATCTGTCGACCATTTCTTCACTATCATTTCTTTGTCAAAGTACGTTTCGTTGCTAAATGTTAACTGTTAAAACAATTAAGTAATGTTTGAAAATAATATTAAAATATCTTTAAATTTCAGAAATTAATTTGTTGAAAGCTCAGTTATCAATGTTAATTTACTTACCCCTGCATATAAATCGGAGACATATGTATTATTCAGAAGCTTTGTCGGATACTGAAAGTATGCTCTCATGCCAATAACCTGCAAAATACGAAAAAATTCCTCTACTTTGCCCAAAGCAGTCTGTTATTACTGCAGTGGATATTTGATTTTTAAATACCCAAGAGTTCATATATAAGTGCACAGTAATGAAATGTGTAAAGTAAACGCAAACTAGCACAAAATAGTTACACAATAGTGAAAACCTGCATAAAAAAATTAAATTATAATGTATTATAGTTTCATTCTCTTGAACGTTCTTCATTTGAATTTTATTCTTATGGATGTTTCTTTTAAAATGTTATGAACGTTCTTCATCTGTATTTTATCCCTATGGAGTTTTCTTCTGAAATTCTATTAAAGATAAGGCATTTCCTCCAAAATAACGTGTTCTTGGTATATAAATTAATTCGCACAACTCATAACAGAGATTTGGCATAAAACTTATAACAACAAAGAATTTTGTTGCAAAATGGTTTTGGGTATCCAATCAAGACGAATACAAGCAGTTTAAATATTTAAGAGACTTTGGAGGCTATTCAAGTTGACCTTACTCATCCTATCTACTTATAGAGAAATTCTTGATCAAGTATGCACTGATTGTTAAGTCCCTCTGAAGCCAGATGGCGCTGCCATCGTTACTGTTTACAAAAAGAATGTTAATTACTTTGGAGTTGGCTTCAATGGCGAAGCAGAGAGTGATTGTGGGAGCCTGAGCGTCTCTCAAAAATTAGTATAATAAAGATAAAGATATGTACAAAGTAGTTTGTAAATAGTTAATTGAGAGTTACAGTCCATTTAGAAATCGCCGGACCATTTGATGGTCCAGTAGAGCCGCAGAGATATCAGCTAAATAAATAATCTAGTGTAAAACAGTGAGTTTGCCATTTTGTTTCAATGGAATTCGTGTTGTGGATTATAGCCAGTTGCTGAAAGAAAGGGGTAAGTAAAAACCCTTGACACTCTAGCATTATTAACTGTTGCATTTAGTAAATTCTGAATAAGTTTGTGTGAATTTTGTTATTGATAAGTGTAGCGAAATTGGCTACGAAACTGAAAGATTTTCTCACTAAAAGAGACTCAAAAAACTATCTTATCGAAGTCGCAAAAGAAACTTTGTGAGCCAGATTTAAGTGTTAGTGATTTAGAATTGTTAAAAAAAAACTAAATTTAACAATCTGCAAAAGAATTTGATATTATTTTGATTCTATTATCAATTTAACTAGTGAAGAAAATATCGAAAAAATCTTCAGTGAGCAAGATGAAATCAATAGTAGTATTATTGATATAGAATTTGAAATAATAATAGATTGTCGAACGTTTTTAAAAAAATAAAGTAGAAAATGCAGTAATTCTGAAAATACTGTTTGTGCGTTTACCCAAGATTTCATTTTACCAATATTTTCAGGAGAAATGCATTCTTGGCTTTCCTTTAAGGACATTTTAAAGCGAGTATTGATCAAAACCCCAAATTTATCAGATGCTGTAAAATTGCAATATTTGAAATCAGCACTGAAGGAGATGCTTTGAGAATTATCCAAACGATAGCTATAACGGATAATAATTATAAGTTAGCGTGGTCTCTCCTTGAAGAAAGATACTCGAATCCTAGAGAACAAATGTATGCTCATCTTAAAAGATTTATGAGTATCCCCGTTATTCAAAACGAGTCAGCTTCTGCGATTCTAAATTTAATTGATGTTACAAGTGAAGTTGTAAGATCGTTAGAATGTTTAGAACAAAAGTTAGATGGGGTTTCATCCGCTATATTTGCCTTTATTCTTAGCCAGAAACTTGATCAGAATACTAAGTTATGGTGGGAAAGGAATTTAAAGAAAGAAAAAATACCGAACATTAAACGCTTCTAGAATTCCAGTAATGTCTAAATCAAAAGCTTCAGTAAGTCAATCAAAGGTTTCTTCAATGGTTTCATGTGTGACTGTAAAACGTGCTTTAATTTGTAAACTGTGTAATGTGGAACATAAATTATTTAAATGCCCTAAATTTCAAAAATTCAGCTTAAAGGATAGTGTCGAGTATGTTAAAAAGCACAACTTATGTTTCTGCTGTTTTGGAAATCATGGAGTGAGAAATTGCCCTTCAAATTACTCTTGTAGGCTATGCAGAAAAAGCACAATTCGTTACTGTGTTATGAGCGAGAAAAAGTTTCTATTTCCCAAAATAGAGAGAGTTGCGAAAATCGCCTCTCTGTCGGATCAAAGTCAGACGCCAGTTTCGTCTACAGAAGTAGCGAAACTGAACGCTCTCACGCAAAGCCATAATAAGTAAGGATAGCGAGTGTTTTTATGACAGCTAATGTAAATAAAATTGTAATGCAGTTAATAGAGTCCTACTATCGACAGCGATTGTTTATATTAAGGGAAATGGAGGAGAAATATTTCCAGCCAGAACTTTGCTTGACAGTGGAAGTATGATTCATCTTTGTTCATCGGAATAGCTGAGAAGCTTCATTTGCAAAGAGAAAATGTAAACCTATCAGTAGGATGTTTATTGGGATTTCAACAACGGTGAAATCAAAATAAGTGCGGTTATTTTAAATAAAGGAAAACACATACAGTCGTAAACTAGATTTTTTCGTAATTCCGAGAATTACTCATTTGATGCCTTCTAGACAAATTGATGTCTGTAATATTGAGATTCCAAAGGAGTTACGTTAGCTGATCCAGACTTTCACAAACCGGGTAAAATTCAGTTACTTTTAGGATCTGAAATATTTTCGATTTGATAAGATCCGGGCAAATTTATGTACCAAATACAAATTTAGTGTTACAAAACTCAGCATTTGGGTATTTGGTAAGCGGTGCATTGAAGATTTACCACATGAGAAAAACAATTAATGCATTGTGGGTATTTATGACTATGTCGAAGCACAGTTGAAGAAGTTTTTTGATTTGGAATCAATTGGTATCAGAGATGATCCCAATTCTTACAATGAAGATAAAGCATTAGAGATATTCACAAAACTGTTAGTTTCAAAGATGGTCGTTATATTGTTAGTCTGCCTTGGAAGAAACGTTGGGAACATTTAGGCGACAATTTTGGTGTCGCAGAAAAAAGAATAAAAAAATCCTGATGAGAAAATGCAGCATGATAATACATTATACCTGAAATATAGAGAAACTTTAGAAGAGTACCTAAATCAAGGGATAATAGAAAGAGTATTAGATTCTACAAAACCAGTAAACAAGCCAGTTTTTTTATGCCGCGCAGGCTTTATAGAGAAACGTTACAACAAAAATGCGTATTGTATTTGATGCGAGCTCACATGAAATAGGTAGCCTGTCCCTGAATGATTGTTTTGTGCCCAGTATTAATCTGAATCAAAATATATTTCACTTGCTGATATATTTTAGACTTAATAGAGTTGCAATCTTAGGAGATATCGAAAAGGCATTTTTACAGATCGTGTTAGCTGAGAAAGATCGAGATGCAGTTAGATTTTTATTTGTTAGAATATTGATACACCTTTGCAGAATACCGACGATCACTAGAAGTGTATAGATTTAAGCGTGTGCTCTTTGGTGTTAATCCCAGTCCTTTTTGTTAGCTGCACTATAAAGCTGCATATCCAAAAGTACAGAATGTGTATCCCGATACCTTTCAAATTCTTGATACATGTATGTATGTTGATGATCTTGTTATAGGAGCAGATGATGTATCACAAGCCTTAAAAACTTCAAGGGAAGCAAAGGAAATTATGCGTGGAGCTGGGATGAATCTACGCAAATGGGTGACGAATGATTATCATTTAGCTAAAAAATGGGAAGAAGAAAATTTTGATATTCATCCCCTAAGCTCAAATGAAAAGATACTGAAGGTATTAGAAATTCAATGGAACATTCAGGAAAATAGTTTGAGCATAGAGACTTCTTGTTTGACGAAAATTTCGAGGAGAAAGAAAATTACCAAACGCTTCATACTCCAAACAGCTGGAAAATATATGATCCTCTTGGACTCATCACACCATTCACTGTTATAATAAAAACTTTTACTACAAAAGCTATGGTTACGTAATTACCATGGGATGAAGAGCTTCCTTCTGATTTGAACGACGAGTGGTCTGAGTGGTGTAGCGAGCTTTCAGAACTTAGTAACATTAGTGTTCCAAGATTTGCTTTGGATTCATGTCATGAAAATATGAGATCCATGTTTTTTCTGACGCAAGTCAAAAGTTGTATGGTGCAGCCGTTTACGTAAAGGTACAGAATCAAGAAAAAATTTCTGTGAATTTGCTGGCTCCAAGAGCAGAGTTTCACCTGTCAAAAAAGTTTCCTTGCCTCGACTTGAATTGCTGGGTGCACTGATTGCTGCAAGATGGGAACAAAAGTTAAAAAAGTTCTAGATCGTAAAGGTTCATCTAATATCTTTTTTTGGAGTGATTCTAAAGTTATACTGTATTGGATCAAAGGATCAAGCAGGAGATGGAAAGTCTTTCGTTCAAAATCGCGTCGACGAGATTCAGAAGTTTGACTAAATCCAGATTCATGGTTTTATTGTTCAACCAAAGACAATCCAGCCGATCTTCTAACGCGTGGAGTTAGTGCCTCTTCTCTAGTGAACAATTCTAAGTGGTGGACTTGTGCAGAATTTTTTACAGAGCCGCATCTTCCCTACAAGTGCTTACAACCAATAGTTCCAGAGGTTGAGAACCTAACACCAAATGAAAGGGAGTCCTTTGTGCAAGAAAGTAAAAGTTCTAGTGACATTAATGACATTTCTGAGAGAAACTATGTTGATTGACATGAACTCTAACGTTTTTAGACGAACTCTTGAATATTAGTAACAATTATTATAGAATAATTATGTTCTTTCTTATATTTTTAGGTTTATTTGTAATTGCAGGAAAGGTGAATCAAGAAAGGTAGGCCCTCTTCAACTAGAGGAGGTAAGAATAGCTTGAGGAAACGCTCATTAAACATGAGCAAAGGGTTATATTTTGTAAACAAGGACATAACAGGTAACTTAAAAAATTTACATCCCTTTGTTGATCGTAAAGGAATAAATTCGCGTTGGTTGACCGTCTTGAAAAAGCTTCTTTACCATTTTCTCAGAAATATCCTGCAATCCTACCAAAAACTTCTAAGCTAAGTAAGATTTTAAGCTAAGTATTTTTCTAGTGGTGCACCGAAGATTATTGCATGTTGGCCCTCCAAGGATTATTGAATGCAGTACGTTTAAATTTTGGCCATTAGGTGGTAGAGATTTGGCGCGAAAAACAGTACATCTTTGTGTGACATGCTTTAAATGCAAACCGATTTTGTCTTCACAGATTATGGGCAATTTGCCATACGAGAGAGTTAATAGATCACCCCCATTTAGTGTTTCAGGTTTGGATCTATGCGGTCCCTTTTATGTGACTTACAAGCATCAAGAAAGGGCGTGCTAAATAAAATTTACATTTGTGATGTATATGTTTTGTGACACGAGCTATCATCTTGAGCCTTTGTCAATTTAACTTCTAGTGCTTTAATTGCCACTCTTAAGCGTTTCATGGCCAAACGTGGCAAATGTGCGAAATATTCACTGATAATGCCTCTAATTTTGTAGGAGAAAAAATTCTCTGTTGAAGAAATTTTACAATGTAATTAATTTTCCTGATAAAACTTTGGCCTCATATTCACGTCCGAAAGAAAACTGGAACTTTATACCTCCCAAGTCCCTCATTTCGGAGGGCTATGGGAAGCCGGTTGTAAAGTCCGTAAAGTATCATTTAAAGAGACGATAGGAGATTTGCGTTTTACATATGAGGAGTTTGAAACTATAATTGTGCAGGTAGAGGGAATACTAAATTCGAGACCTCTTACACCTATTCCAATGATTTTGATTGTTATGACGTTTTGACCCCAGGTCATTTTTTAATAGGGAGATCAATACAGACGATTCCGGAGCCAATGATAATAGACGTAAATGAAAATCGGTTAAGCCGGTGGCAGAGAACAACGAAATAGCTCAAATTATTTTGGAAGAAATGGTCAAATGACTATTAGGAACTCTGCAGCAGAGAAACAAGTGCATGATAGAGAAGGACATATTTCTGTTGGTACTATGGTACTTGTCAAGGAGGATTATCTGCCAATTTGCAAATGATATTAGGTCGGGTTATTAGTCTATCATGGATCTGACAATAAAGTAAGAACGGTTTAAAATCAAAACAAAATCAGGAGGAATTAAAAAGAGCGAATCAACAAAGATCGCCGTTCTTCCGATAGAAAACTGAAATGATATTGTTGCATATGTATTGTATTTTGTCCTAGTATTGTAATAGCTTGTAGTTACAGTAATAGTATATTATACTGTTTATAAGTATACTTAACTTTGTTTAAGTTACAATGTATTGTATAATTTCTTGAAATTTTGTAATTTCAAACCGGGGGAGTGTTACGTCCCTCTGAAGCCAGATGGCGCAGCCATCGTTACTGTTTACAAAAAGAATGTTAATTACTTTGAGAGTTTGCTTCAATGGTGAAGCAGAGAGTGATTGTGGGAGCCTGAGCGTCTCTCAAAAATTAGTATAATAAAGATAAAGATATGTTACAAAGTAGTTTGTAAATTAGTTTAATTGAGAGTTACAGTCCATTTAGAAATCGCCGGAACACTGATATTAACTCTCATATTAAAAAATATACTAAGTACGTGCATGCCTCTATTCTAATACTACAACTAGATACGCATACAACTGATCATGATTATATATCCAAAATATATCATTTATTTAAATTAATTTTGGAAATGTAAACCGAATTTACAAGTTAGCACATATATTTGATTTGTTACTTAAAGCAAGATTTTTTGTTTGTCTATTTTGTTACTCAGGGATAGTAAAACAAATAAATAATAACATTTTAATTCTAGTTTAATTTGAAACTGGTAATTTGACTTTCGAACAGTTTATATAAGTGCGCTTTTCAAAAGATTCAAGACTGTTTCTTTAACTTACAATTCATCAGAAAAGTCAATCACATACTATGTTAAATCCAAAAGCTCATTAATTGCTTGGGGCTGGGGATAACCTGATTATCTTCCAGCCTGTTAATATTATGCTCAAGTACTACGTCATCAGTGTTCTAGAAAGTTTCTTTTTACTAAAATCTATTAATAAACACATTATAGTTTTAATAACTATCTCAGAAACTATTTACTTCATGTTACTTCTACAATAGACATAAATTTCAGCTTCAAGAAGACAATTTTTGAAATCACTTAAACTACTAAAAGAGCTTTTCAACTCTGAACTACAGGTACGGTGTGTAGAAGCAGAAAGAATACAAACTTTTTTTAAATGTAAGATGTGAGCTAGAGTATAAGGCATTTCATTTTTGAATCACTCAATACAATTTTTTAAACATTTGAACATGTGTTTTTAAATGCCGTGTGCAAGTATGATGCGGTTATCTTCATGAAATAATATAAATATTTTGGAAAAGAAGACAGTAAACATTTTAGGAATTTCAAAACTCAAAGTCCAAGAAAAAAAAACCAAGAACAAAAAATCTCTCACTCTATAATGGTGATTCTGAATGCATTTAAATTTTAGAATTAATTTATTTGAAATAAGCTAAATTCAACTGTCAAAAGGAAGCTATAAAAATTAGAAATATTTTGAGGAGTCTTTTGTTAATTTACATTTGCAATAGCTATATTTTCCACTCTAACGTTTAAAATTCAGTATAAATTTGCTCTGTAACTGCGTATGATATATTAGAGTCATTCAGACAGTGAAAACCTTCTTTTGTCTTTTGAAGTATATAATTGTAAATAATATAACATAAAATAAAAACTATAAACCTTTTCTTTTGCTTTCACATTAGTTTGAAAATCCATCCAGTCTATGTTTTCTAACATATTATAAACTTCTTCTTGTATATATTCAAAAATCTTTAGAGCCTGAAAGAATAAGAGAGAAGTTTGACACAAATGTATTACTAATTACATAAAATTTACGTTCTGGTCCTGTGAAGCTTGAAAGAAGTGTGGTAAAAGAAAGTGTAAAAACGAATATAAAATGTTAAGGTCCATGCAAAACATTTTTAAAAATAATTAAGAACTCTTTTAATCCCATTTTACTGGAAATGTTACTGAAACAGGAAAAGTTCAGATCAGCAATTCTATATATGATTCATTTATACATATGCCACGTAAAATAAATTTGGTTAAGCAGATCTAAATTAAAGCACGTTTGAAGGATTTGGATTCTGAGAGAAAGAGTACTTACATATTTAAAATATTTCAGGAGCCCAAATGGGGAAAAAATTGTTTAAACTCATTCGTTTTGAATTCAACCTTTACTTCTGCGATCACCCTCATAGATCTCTACTGTAGATTTAACGAGTTTGTAGCTCAAATGATTAGAAAACCTCTAAAACACTTCCTGTATTGTACGAAATTCTCTTCTATCAAAGCTTAGGTCTTACCTAATGAACGATATGTTTTTCAGTTTTTATTGTATTGCATGTGTATCCTATTCCAGATTTTTTTCATTAAAAATAAATCAAGGTACTTTGAGTCTTAAACATACCATTTCTTCTTTCCACTTTGTTTTTCAGTGTGAAGACTGAGCTTGGTGAAGATTTTATTGAATTTTATGAACAACTATTGAGTAACTGTCAGATAATAATAGCATTGCTTCAAAATGTATAGTAACGTAAATTGTTTCAAATGAAAAAAATTATGTATATATCCCATGAAAAAAATAGAAGTATATTTATGGTCTGAGAACTTTAGTTACATATTCTTTTCCATAAACATGAATTATTTTTGGTTATTAATTGTTAATTACAAAATATTCATGAAGACTGAATATTCAATTATTTTTCATGAATTACAAAATAATATTAAAACGAACCTTTGATGTACATTGTAATAATTCTTTAGATTCATTCTCTTGTTACCAAGGTAATATTATCCGACTGAATAGGTAGTTTTTAAATGTAGAATTTAAATTTTTAAGTGAATTAATTACAAGCTTTTAAAATAAACATGATGAAAATATTTCTCTGAAGGATCATGTTTTGAAGAAGTAATGATGATTACTAGTAAGGAAATTAATTTCTGTTACATGGATTCTTCGAACTATTATTACATAAAAAGGCTTTGTAATAATAGCTCAAAGATATGTAACTGAAGTGGTTAAATTTTGTTTGCACTTGCGTTTAGAATATAAAACATGCATCTGATTTTAAAAACAATGTTTTCTTTCTATTAGGTATACTTCATGAAATTTGTCGGATTTTACGTTTATTTTTACTAATTTATCAGTTTAATTAATTTTGATATTAAGCCATTTGATATTTCACTAACGATAAGGATGTGAGTATGTTCATTTTTTAAAATTCTGTGTTATTTACGCAGAGTTATGATAAAGAACTATTCGAAAAGCATCGGTTTTTTGAATAACTTTGATTTTGTTACTCCTAAACTTTTCAAATCCCTTTTTCACAAATACCCAAATAATAATGATAAAATATTTTCTTACTGGATCTTAAAGATTATCACCTGGATGCCCACAACAGATTCTTGTCGGTAGATGGAAGCGCGTTGAAACGTAAATAAAATAAGAAAAAATTTTAAAAAATTCAGAAAGTTTTCAGATTTTATTGTGTGTTACCTTTATTTATTAAGTATCATGTTCTCTGCACTTGAACCACATAAAACTCAGTTCAATAGCAATAAAGCAAAATATTTAAAAACAAATATCTTTAGAATTTCCGATAGATAGTCTTGCGGACTAAAGATAAAAATGTTTTTTTTTTTTTTTTTTTTTTTTTTTTTTTTCCCGTACAGTATTGCCATTGCTCGCTTTGAAATCGTCGAGTTTATTAATAAAAAATTCGTTAAAGTTTTACAAAATATGAAATAGATAATAAAATGAATTCGAAATTCAAAATTTGGGCTACCAGGTTCCCACGTTCGAGTGGAGGATTACGTTATTCAAAATTTGATGGTTCTAGGTACCGTAGTTTTTTCACAGTGCGAGACACATACAGTTACTCATGCAAAGTTTTCATTATTTAATTTCTTTAAAAATATTGCAGGGGGATAATATTTGGTAGCAATAATTTAAAAAGTGATACGCCGCTTATATTTAACACACGCAAAATGCCATTTCGAGACAAATAGCCCTTCTGAGCTAACGTTCCTTTGGGCTAAAAACTAACAGAACGTTTAGAGAAGTTAAAATGCAACTTGAAAATTTTAAATTACAACCTGACATTTAGAAGAGTTTATGGTTAAAATTTCAAAATATACTTGAAAATAAAAAAAAAATTAAAAATTTAATAAAACAGTTATCTAATTTTCTTATTTTGATTCGAGCTAAACGTATAAATCATATTAAATTAAACAGTTACGATTAGCTTACTGCTTTAACACTGTGCACTTAATGAAGTAAAGATTTAATTATTCAAGCATATAGCTATGCATTTATTATATGGATCGTTTATGCACAAGGCTTACAAAAAATATTTCTCTGAAATGTTAATAATTTTATAATTTGGAATACAAATAAATTAATTTTTGATAAGGCATTGATTAACTAATTAACTTAATTTCGTTACACAACATATATCCTCTTACTGAAAACAATAACGTAGCGTAAAAGGTTACCTTTGAGGTGTTAATTAAATAAACCAATAATGCAGTGCTGATGCATTTAATTAAACGTAATTTTTACCTATAATAAAAAGAAAATGACGCTATTTATTATACCACAAGTAAATTTTAACGTTGTAAATAAATGACTTTTTAAATTTACAACGCTTTCGAAGAACACAAAGCCATTTACTTCAACTTGCAGTTAATATTAATTTAATAATAACAAAGCGAATTAACATAAGAATCCAAATACCTAATAATAGCAGCTTGCATAACTTAATAAACGTCAGAAATTATTTTTGATATCAAGAGATTGTCGAGTTGAGTTAAAAAATACAGTCTAAGGAATATATGATTAAAAGTCTTAAAAACCCATGGTGTTCAGGACGAATTAAAAAACTGCATTCTTGAAACATTGCAAATGGTAGAATGTCTCCACAAATGAATGGTGGGATTTGATAAAGCGTTTGTATTTTTAGCCCAAAAGGGCAATTTGCTCAGAAGGGCAAATTAATTTCGTTTTTGGCATTCTGCGTTGGTTCACTATAAACGACGTTTCTTTTTTCAAATTGCTCCCACCAAATATTAGAGCCCTGCATTTTTGTTAAAGAAATTAGATAATGAAGAAACTGCATTAATGTGTGTATATTTCTGGCATTGTGGAAAAGCAGCGGTACCAGAGACATCAAAATTTGAATAACGTAGTCCTCTAGTTGAATATGGGCATCTGGAAGCCCAAATTTGGAATTTGCAATATTATCTATTTCATATTTTGTAAACCTTTAACGAAATTTTGATTAACAAATTCAACGCTTTCAAAGCGTTTCATTAATATTAACATCACCTGCATCTTCAAGCATGGATATTTAATGCTCGAGATTTCTTTTTTATCCCAAAGGGGCGTTAGACCCCGAAAAGAGCTATTAGTCTATAAACGACATTTTGAGTCTTTTCACATTCTGCGTTGATTCACTTTGGAAAGTGTTGCCACCAAACAATATCGTCATGTATCATATATAAAGAAATTAAATAATGAAGAATCTGCATGAATGTTTCTCGCACTGTGGAAAAACAACGATACATAGAACCATCCAGTTTTGAATGACGTAGTCCTCCAACCGAGCATGGGAACTTGGAAGCACGAATTTTGAATTTGTTTTATTATCTATTTCATATTTTGTAAACCTTTAACGAATTTTTGATTAACAAACTCAACGATTTCAAAGTGAGCAATGGCAAGACTAGAAAAAAAAAAAAAAAACATTCTTATCTTCAGCGAGCGAAACTGCGTATAGGAAATTCTAAAGATTTGCTGTTTTTAAATATTTTGTTATGTTGCTGTTGAACTGAATTTTATGTGATTTAATTGCGAAGAACGTGATAGTTAATAAAGAAAGGAAACACACAAAAAGTTAAAAAACGCACTTTTGGGTGTAATATAAAACCTGAAAGCTTTCAGAATTTTTTTCATTTTTTTATTTATTTTATTCAAATGAATGAAACAAAATTTTATTATTCCAAGTACTAGTTAATTACGTTATTAGTCTCATTATTTAACATACATATTAACTTAAGTTTTCCAACTCTTTCAAGTAGTTGTAATTTTACTAGTAGCAATTAGATGATGAGTGGAATTGGAGGATATGCACCCATGAAGCAATTTTTGAAGTAAAAAATGTTCTTCTCAAAAGACTCAGGAAAGCAAGATTATATAGGAAGATGAGTCAAATTCGACGCTTATTTTGAATGACATAGCATATAAGACGTAAACTTATAGGTACAAAAATAGCGAAGGACAATTATTCTGCGAAATCTGAAAGGTAATAATACAGAGCTAATTATATTCAAATTCTCCCTAAACGGTGATTCAAGCAAAGGAAATATATGGGCAAACTCCTGAAATTATAAGCGAACATCTGATCTTCGCCCTTACAAAAGTTTTAGTAGAATTGTAAATTCTACGTCAGTATTCCAAAAATAATTAGAATAGAAAAAAATTTCTAATTAATTAGAACAGAATATACGATTCTACGTTAGAGCGAAGGTCAGATGACCACTTCGAGTTTCATGAGATTGTAGGCATATTTCCTTTGCTTTAATTAGTACAATATAAAAGAGTTCAACAGTTCTGAGTATCTCCGGTTTAGTAATAGCAGTAGTAATAAAAATAGGAAAATGTAATATTCCAACTAAATTGTACATAATGAACATGTGTTGGTTCAAAGTTACGGAAAGTATTATCTATGAAGGCTTATAGGGTGAATGGTACGAAGGCTTATAGGGTATCTAGGAAG